TGTGTAGACATAAGTTTTCAATTCATTTGGGTAAATACCAAAAAGCACGATTGCTTCATTGTATAGCAAGAGTATGTTTAGTTTTGTAAGAAACTGCCAAAATGCCTTTATAAGTGGCTATACCGTTTTGCATTCTCACCAGCAATGAATGAAGGATCCTATTGCTTCATATCCTTGCTAGTATCCATCTCTAAAATGTGAATTAGTCATCCAACAGAATAATATTTGGCGATAAAAAGGAATGAAGTACTGATATATATTACAACATGGATGAACCTTAAAAATATTATGTTAAGTGAAAGAAACCAGTCACAAGAGACTATATTTCACATGTCCAGGACAGAGAAAACTATACATACAGAAGACAGCTTAGTGTTTGCTTAAGGACAGGGAGATAACGGCATAGGAGAGTCATAACAAAGGGGTGCGGTGTTTCTTTTTGACTTGACAAAAAGGTACTAAAATTGATTGTGGTAATGGTTGCACATATGTGTGAATATACTAAAAACCATTGAATTGTGTAATTTAGGTCGGTGATTTGTTTGGTATGCAAATTATATCTCAATAAAGCTGTTATTAAAAGGAAGTATTATCTATTCTGGGATGGATGAGTAGGAGTTATCCAGGCTAAGTGTGTGAGGGGCAATTGAGGCAGTGTTTCAGGCAGGGATAAATGTGAAACCAGGACTGGGACTTGAAAGGGCATGGAGCCTTGAGGAACTGATAGGAATTCACTCAGCACAATGGTATTGTTACTATTTATTAAATACCAATCATTCCAGAGCAGTGTTTAGGAACAAGGACATTGACCTTAGGCAAGTATTCCATTTAATAGCTGTGCAACCTCCGCCAGGCCTCACTTTCCTTTTCTATAAAATAATAGGTTAATGATATAACATCTAGAAAAGGACTCAGAGTTCATGGAAGGGAAGAAAGAGTCTGTGTAAATCCAAGAATTATTTTGGCAATTATAATGCACGGATAATAGAATTACCAATTGGGAATTAAAAAATTATTATTATTATTTCTTAACCAGATGGCAGGAGCCCTGATGGGAGATACCAAAATGCCACTTAAAAAGAAATGATCCTTCTCTTTAGCAAACCGAAGGGCTTCATCTTGACATATGTGAATATTTGTAGATATGGGTATGTATGTGTATGTGTGTATATATTATACTGTGCCTTCTGTTCTTCATTATTCTTTTAACAATACATGGTGAACATGTAGTACATATGGATCTACTTCATTCCTTTAAATAGTTCCTTTACCTACATTACACTGTGGACAAAAGATTTGAATAGACATTTCTCAAAGTGTGAAATACAAATCACCAATAAGCACATGAAAAGATGCTCCATGCCCAACTAAATTATTAAACTGATGCAGCTGTTTGTGCTAAGGGTCTTGCAAAAGGCTGGTGTCAGAATATCAAATAATTGCTTTTGGATGCTGTTATGTGTGTTAGCCTCCTCCTTCTTACCCTACCTTGAACTTTCTTTGCAGAGAGAACAAACCAGCTTTTCTGTTAACTTTTGCTTTTTACAGAGACTGAGGTGATTATGTGTGGATGGGATCTGGGGCTGGTTTTCAAACACACACTCTCCTGTTAGTTTCCTAGTAAAAAGTTTTATATGACATTACTCTTGTCATTAGCGTCCTGAAGAATCCATTGACTTTGCATTCTTACCTCTTTTATTTTGTGGTATCATGATAGCTGTGTCTTACTGTAATTTTGAAGTTCCTCAAAGACTGTTTATCTTTAGTTTCTCACTTGATGCTCTTTTCATCCAATTAATCTTAATATTTATTTTAAATCCCCTGTACTTAGCTAAATACTAGAAATAGTTACAAATACCATGTTTACATTCTACAATATATATTGTGTGCTGTATTTAATTTGGAATCATAAACCAGAGCTTTTGGTCTTAGGAAAGGCTTATTATTCACATTCAGATTTATTGTACAGAGAAAACTGTTATTGGGAGAGGCAATCTGCTACGAGCCCTGAGTATCCCTACATATTCTTATTGGGTATGCCAAGAATGTAAGGCCCTGAGTGCTCTTTACCCAGGCAGACCATTTTTCATAGTTGTGTTTGCAACAAGCAACCTTGAGCGATAAGATAACATCTTTCCCTGAACAAAGAGTAGGCTTGTTTCTGCTGTGAAAGCATTGAATACCCCAAACTCGAGGTTTCCTTCCTATGATGCAATGCGCTGCATGTTGAGGTATCAATCACCGGTCCTATGCCACCCCATGAAACTTGGGAACAATAAGGAACTAATACAAACCAACATGAAGCTCTGGCTACTGCTTCTGCTGTGATAATGTCATTTGATTTCGACCCAGGAGTCTCGAGTCTTCTGCCAGCATCCATTAAATGAGAGTAGGCTCAGTTGTTAGCTTATACGCAGGGTAAAATTTCAAATCCTGCACGGTTCTTGATAGGTGTTTCCAGTTATTATCCCTAAAGTTATTATGCCCATGCTGGAGCAATGTTTCCCACCAGGATGTTTTTTTGCCCTAAGTATGTGCCACCTACACTATTAATACTGTGTTCTAACTTAATGTTCTTCTTCAAATTTACTCACTTATTTGATTTGAATACTTTTTGAAAAACAAACTTTATAATGCCACCCTAAATCTAAACTATCATCATTTGCTTTAAACAGAAAGTATTCATTCATACATGTTCAAATAAATACATGGACACCACAATTTAAAAGACTTATGTACTGTCTAAAATCATTTCCCCCTACCACCAGACTCTGACTTTAACCACAAGTTATCTGATTACATGCAGAGCAGTCATGTCTGGGACAAAGTTTCTATTAGTGAATTTTGAGATCTTATCTTCTTCCTTATAAAAAAAAGTCCTCATCAAACCTCCTTGTGAAGGAAAGAAAGGGAGAAAGGAAGTCTAGTGCTCTGATCTGCAAAAAGGATAGTTGTTTTTCTCCAGGTATGTCTGTTCAGGACAGGCAAGCTATCAGCCGAGGAGGGCCTTGTGCCTAGCAGAGAAGCCAGAGTCAGGCCTATCCTAGACAGGAGTGTGGCTTGAGTGAGCCTTTCCACATCCTTCCTAAGTGCAACCCCTCTGAGGGCCAAGGGGATGGATTTATTCTGTTTTGTAAAACTGGCAGTGAGCCTGGAACCTTATCTCACTCCAACATGAACTGCAGCCCTACCAGCAACCATTAGGCTGCCATCACCTTGAAGAATGGTCTGGAGACATGAAGAGTTCCCAAAATGGCATCACAGAGGAAAATGACACATGACAGGCATAATAGTGGGCCTTTTGTAAAGAAGGAAAGATAGGCTAGGCGCGGTGGCTCATGCCTGTAATCCCAGCACTTTGGGAGGCAGAGGTGGGTGGATCACTTGAGGTCAGGAGTTTGAGACCAGCCTGGCCAACATGGTGAAACCCCGTCTCTACTAAAAATACAAAAAACAAAAATTTGCCAGGTGTGGTGGTGCATGCTTGTAATCCCAGCTACTCGGGAAGCGAGACACAAGAATCGCTTGAACCTGGGAGGCGGAGGTTGTGGTAAGCTGAGATCGTGCCACTGCACTCCAGCCTGGGAGACAGAGTAAGACTCCGCCTCAAAAAAAAAAAACAAAAAAACAAAAAAACAAAAAAAAAACAAGAAAGAAAGACGATAGATAGATGGTAGGTAGGTAGGTAGGTAGATAGATAGATAGATAGATAGATAGATAGATAGACAGACAGACAGACAGAGATATGTAGATATAGACACATAATAAGGCCTATACAGCACTTTCATATATTTCCAGCCAGGGGTGGAGTTATTCCAAAATCTGACTTGAATTTTCCTTCAAAATTTATACAAGTCTAGAGATATCTGATGAACAGATGAGGAGGGCCTGCCACCAGTCTTCTGGGAGAAATCATTTGTCCTAAGGAAATAGGAGTCAGGAAGATAAAATGGTAGTCTTCAGATCCACGGCAGCAATTCTGAGTAAAGCATGTCTGTTACTCAGATTTGTCTTCTAGTCCAACTCCCTGATGGACTTATCATGTCTAAGCCTTATGGGTAGAAAGTTAAAATCCCAAAGTTGCCAAGATATCTATAAGACATCATGACTCATGTGGCACTGCATAAGTGTCTATCTAAATTGAAGAGATGGGCAATCTTCTAACTTCTCTAAAGGTCAGTCTGGGAACTAAGCTTACTGGGGGTGCCAAAGAAATATGCTGGGCTTCACTACTTGAGAATTCTAGCACATTCACAGTGGTAGGGGCCTGAAGGTGCAGGACCCAGCAGAAGGGGCAGGAAACGCAGTATATATGGTAGTATCAAGGGCAGGGGCATGAGAAGCTGGGCAGGCATACCAGGAAATGAACATAAAGGTGGCACCCAGCTCACAGTTCTTTTTTTCTTTTTTTGAGACAGAGTCTTGCTCTGTCACCCAGGCTGGAGTGCAGTGGCACGATCTTGGCTCACTGCAAGCTCCACCTCCTGGGTTCACACCATTCTCCTGCCTCAGCCTCCCAAGTAGCTGCGACTACAGGTGCCCGCCACCATACCTGGCTCATTTTTTGTATTTTTAGTAGAGATGAGGTTTCACCATGTTAGCCAGGATGGTCTCAATCTCCTGACCTCGTGATCCGCCCACCTCAGCCTCCCAAAGTGTTGGGATTAGAGGTGTGAGCCACCCAGCCTTGGGTTTGTTCTTAATCACAGATAAGAACTACTTTCTCCACCCTTCCAAATCCCTGAAATTAATCTCTTACGGAGTTGGGAATGGGAACAAAACTGTCAAACATAGCTCACAGTCATTACCTTATTTGGCCCTCACCAGATCCTTGTGAGATTATTTTCTTTATTTTAAAGATGAGAAAATATGTAAAATTTATTATTCTAGCTAAGTGGTCTGGAGTTGCTTTGAAGTTCACATTTGCTTCTAAAATTCTGTCAACAAATATTAAATGCCCCAATACGTTTCGAAATAAACTAATAAGTGCTGCTTGTTGCTTCTTTTTGTTATAAAGCTTTTATTATTCTAGCAACAATAATGTGTGTTAATTTTAGGAATATAGAAAATACAAATAAGCAAAAGGAGAAAAATCATTCATAATCCCACCACCGAGAGGCTATACTTTCTTTCATCCTTCACAAGTTATGTCCATATATGTAATATACAAATGTACTTTTTACCTTTCAAAAATATGATATTCACATATTACTTAGCCTTTTTCCATTTTATATCCTACCAAGAACCTCTTTTTTACAAATGAGTAAAGTTCTTTTATTAAAAGACAGAGACTTGTAGATTGGTTCAAAATACAATAAACAATGAGATGCAGATAACAAGAGATACATCTAAAACCATTAATAGCAACAGGTTATAAGTAGAAATATGGACAAAGGAATATCAGGAAATGCTAATAAAAAGCAAGCTATATGGTATTGTTAATATCAGAAAAAATCAAGGTAAACTACATTAAATAGGGGTAAGGGTGGTTTCGATTGACCTTCCAACGCATCACTATAAGTTTGTTTCTGACTCTCCTTATCTCGTCTATTTCATCCACTTCTCTAAACATATCTTCATTGCTTAAATGCCTGTTGTGTATATCTTCTTTAAACTCCTGGAGAGATTGAATCAGCCTTTCTCTAAAAGTTCCTTTTGCTTTGGCCTCCTCCTCTAGCTTCTCCTCCTCCTCCTCTGGCTTTTCCTCAGGCTTTGGCTCTTCCTCATGCTTTGGTTCACTCTCATTTTCTGGTTTTCCTTCAAATTTTTGACAGGATTTCATCTTGTATCTGTCTACCTCTCTTCCTTCCTTCCTTATTTTATTTTTTTGTGTATTCTTCTTGGAATACAATGACTTCTAGAAAGCAAAAAGAAGACAGTAAGTTAAAGACTTGGTGAGTGGACAGGTGCTGTGGACAGAGGTCTCAGCATTTAATTTTTTTTTATTCAGACTGTTATAAAATATCTTCCACTAAGAAGCCCAGTCAGCAATCAGAGCTTCACTATCCCCACTCCTCTTACCTCCACTTTCCATCTCCTCACTTCTCTTGTCCTTCCCTCTAACCTTTTCCAAGGCCCTTCTTTCCGCCTCCCAGCCCTCCCCAATCCTTTTTCCCCCATAGGGCCTAACACAGGGACCAGGCCAGAAAAGAGAAAGGTGGCTGGCAGGCAGAGGAAGAGGGGAAAGGAGAAGGGGGAGAGAAAAGAAGAGGGGAAAGGGGTGGGGTGGAAGGGAGCCGGCAGGAACAGTGGAGCTTACAACCTTTGTCTCCACCCCAGGAGACTTTATAATAGTCCTCTCACCTACCTGGCACTGATCGGGTCAGTTTCTTCCTCCTCCTTTTCTAGCTTTGGGTCTTGCTAGAAACAACAGACCTGCAGACAAACGGGAAACGGGAGGGGACGGTGGGGGTGGGGCGAGCGCTTGGTGGGCAGACCAGCGCCAGAGACTGACACACGTAGCTTTCCTCCTTTAGGGTTTCAGATATGGAAAGTTTCCCACCTTTTGTTTCCTCCAGTTCACCCCCTATCCACAGTGCATGCAAGTCACTTCGTTTTTCCCATCAAACAAAGAGTGAGAAAGCAGATTATTTCCAAACTATCTTTAAGACTGAGGCGGGGTTCGGGAGGAGGGTGGGGGTCCAGAAAGCAGGATTAGATAGCAGAGGACGATTATTTTTAAACTATCACAGGTCTACTTGTTCTTCTCCTAGGACCCCTAGTCCCTTTCCCAAGGGTCATCAGTTCCTGTAGACCTGGAGGTGGAGGGTGGAGAGACGGACCTGACTGGCACTCCCACAAGTCTCTGCCTTAAGCCCCCCCACCCTAGAAATCCCCAGTCAACACCTACATTGACACCAACCTGCAAAATTCCCGCAAGTTTGACTCCTTCCACTAGCGTCAGGGACCACCGCCTGCACTGCTGAAGGAAGCTGGTATCCAGACTGGAACAAGGACCAGACTACCAGGACTTCTGCACACGTCGACTCCTGGTCACATGAGATCTACGTCACCAGTGAGCTCGGGTCCCTAATTTCCACTCCCACCAAAAGCGCGGCAGAAGTGGGCCCACCCTCTGCTCCCTCCCCGCCCCCCACTTACACATTTGGCCCTGTCAGTCTTTTCTGTTGTTTCCTATCCCGGAGGGAAAAATGTTATTTGCTTGACTCTGATTACTAGGGAGGGGCTACCTCTTTTTCTGGAGCTATTGAACTTTTCTACTTCTTTCGAGAATTGTCTCTTCCAGTCTTCCGCTCCCAGGATAACTCCTCCATCAGTCGTCCCTCCCCTAGCCTCCATTTCCTCTGCAATCTGGTTCTTAGCTGTTGTGGAGCAGGGTGGGCTTGGCAGCAGTTGTGAAACAACAACAAAAGACCCTGGAACAAGAGTGAGATATTTTAATGCAATTTTTACTGTTTATTCTTCATACTTCTATATTCTTTTTTTAAAGGTAACTTTAATCTTTCTCTTTTTTCTTTTTTCTTTCTTTCTGTCTTTTTTTTTTTTTTTTTTTTTTTTTTGAGACAGAGTCTCACTCTGTTGCCCAGGCTGGGTTGCAGTGGCGCAGTCACAGCTCACCGCAGCCTCAAACTCCTTAACACGAGCGATCCTCTCGCCTCAGACTCCCAAGTATCTGGGACTACAGGTGTGTGCCACCATGCCCAGCTAGTTTTTTAATTTTTTTGTAGAGACAAGGTCTATGTTCCCCAAGCTGGTCTCCAACTCCTGGGCTCAAGTGATCCTCCTGCCTCAACCTCCCAAAGGGCTGGAATTACAGGCCTGAGCCACTGAATTGGGCAACTTTTATCTTTTTATAGTCAGAAAATACAAAGACAAAATTACTTTAATGACATGAGTTAATATATGTACAGTGCTTAGAATAGTGCCTGGCATATAGTAAGTGCTTTTAAAGTGAAAGCTGTTGTTATATTACACATTTGTGAGGAAAATGATTCAAAATTTTTTAAAAAAGAGTAATGTTTGATTCCAGAGTCCTCATGGTGGTGTTACCAGGAAGCTGTGCTGCCTGAAGAATCATCAGTTAATCAATTGTCAGGTACACATTGTGAGCCTGAGTTTCTTCATCTGACAGAAGGGAATAATAGCATATGCTCATCGAATTGAGATCTATTGAAAATAAAAATGAGTTAATTTTTCATCTATACAATTAGAAGATACAAATATTTATTATATTCAGAGTTGAGGATATGGTAAAACAAATATTAACATATACTGTGAGAATATTAAGTAATACAACATTTTTGGAAGTCATTTTGGCAATATTAAACTTTGAAAGATATGTGCTTTTGGACACATCAGTTCCTCTTCTAGAAATTTATCATACATTAATACTCCTATGCCAAATATGGTCATTGTAGTAGTTGTGGTAATAGTGTTTTTTTAAAGAGCCAAAAACTTAAATGTTTCTAAAAGGAAATCGGTTTAAGAAAAGTTTGATCATTCATATAGAGTTTATAAAGTTTTTTCATTATACATTGATGAAAAAATGATGTGGAGTTACATTTACGCACATGAAAAAAATGTTCAATGTATATTGTTAAACAAAACAGACAAATTGAAAGTTAATTTTATATGTGGTAGTACATTTTTGTAACAGTAGACATATATTTATTTTGTGTATTTAAAATATGAGTATATAATTAAATTCCAAGATAACATGATAAGTGAAGTCCACAAATTCATTCTATAAATTTCCAGGTTATGTAACTGAGAGATAGATGGAACAACTGATGTGAGTCTATTTGGCTAGCTGGCTGCACAGCCCAAATTCGTCAAGGACTCAGCTGTGATTTGTTGCCACAAACAATTCTTGACTGAGCACTTGGACTTAAATATCATCCATCCATTTTACTCTCTCCCCACCTGCTATCACCAATCATGTTATATCCAAACTCAAGTTGTTTCAGGGTCTTACTGTATTTTTATATCATTAGAAATGCAGATGAATATATCCTGAACGATTATCATAGGATATACTTGAGAATGTGTATTTCATATAAAGAGAACTTTTATTTTCTAAGTGTTGTATTTATATATTTAAATTACTAATAAGTTATAAAAATTAATTCAAGATGTATTAAAGACTTAAATGTTAAAACCATAAAAACCCTAGAAGAAAACCTAGGCAATACCATTCAGGACATAGGCATGGGCAGGGACTTCATGACTAAAACACCAAGCCAAAGTAGACAAATGGGACCTAATTAAACTAAAGAGCTTCTGCACAGCAAAAGAAACTACCATCAGAGTGAACAGGCAACCTACAGAATGGAAGAAAATTTTTGCAATCTACCCATCTGACAAAGGGCTAATATCCAGAATCTACAAATAAATTTACAAGAAAAAAACAACCCCATCAAAAAAAGTGGGCAAAGGATATGAACAGACACTTCTCAAAAGAAGACATTTGTGCAGCCAACAGACACATGAAAAAATGCTTATCATCACTGGTCATCAGAGAAATGCAAATCAAAACCACAATGAGATACCATCTCACACCAGTTAGAATGATGATCATTAAAAAGTCAGGAAATAACATGCTGGAGAGGATGTGGAGAAACAGGGATGCTTTTACACTGTTGGTGGGAGTGTAAATTAGTTCAACCATTGTGGAAGACAGTGTGGCAATTCCTCAAGGATCTGGAACTAGAAACACCACTTGACCCAGTGATTCCATTACTGGGCATATACCCAGAGGATTATAAATCATGCTGCTATAAAGACACATGAACACATATGTTTATTGCAGCACTATTCACAATAGCAAAGACTTGGAACCAACCCAAATGTCCATCAATGATAGACTGGATTAAGAAAATGTGGCACATACACACCATGGAATACTATGCAGCCATAAAAAAGGATGAGTTCATGTCCTTTGTAGGGACATGGATGAAGCTGGAAACCATCATTCTCAGCAAACTATTGCAAGATCAGAAAACCAAACACCTCAGGCCGGGCGCGGTGGCTCAAGCCTGTAATCCCAGCACTTTGGGAGGCCGAGACGGGTGGATCACGAGGTCAGGAGATCGAGACCATCCTGGCTAACACGGTGAAACCCTGTCTCTACTGAAAAATACAAAGAACTAGCCGGGCGAGGTGGCAGGCGCCTGTAGTCCCAGCTACTCAGGAGGCTGAGGCAGGAGAATGGCATAAACCCAGGAGGCGGAGCTTGCAGTGAGCTGAAATCCGGCCACTGCACTCCAGCCTGGGCGGCAGAGCGAGACTCCGTCTCAAAAAAAAAAAAAAAAAAAAAAAGAAAACCAAACACCTCACGTTCTCACTCATAGGTGGGAATTGAACAATGAGAACACTTGGACACAGGGTGGGGAACATCACACACCAGGGCCTGTCGGGGGTTGGGGGCCTGGGGGAGGGATAGCATTAGGAGATATACCTAATGTAAATGACGAGTTGATGGGTGCAGCAAACCAACATGGCACATGTATACCTACGTTAACAAACCTGTACGTTGTGCACATGTACCCTAGAACTTAAAATATAATAATAAATAAATATATAATAAGTTAGTAATATATCAATTACTAATATTCAGAAAAATGATTGAGATAAAATTGAAAAATGAAGAAATAAAATATCTGACAAATATTAGACAGCCATGTATCTATTGAAATGAAAATTTTTATAATTGTATGTAAAGGAAAAGCAGATTACTAACAGTAACAGTGTTAGAATTAGGTATGATTGGGTGGTTGGTGGGCTTATGGATTTATATATTCTTTTTTTTACTTCATTGTAGACTCTTCCACATTTTCTCAGGGGGCATGTTTGACTTCTACAGTAAGGAAATGCCTGCAAATAGTATGATCTTATTTTACGGCACATATTTCATATATATACTTCTCTGTAGCTGAACAGGGTCTGAATTAAGTGCCTCCACTACCTGTTTGAGTCTTGAGATCCTTGCAATGGTTGAATCCCTCACATTTCCTTCCCTTGCTCCGCTGACCTCTTCTAAGGACTACATGTTTGTAACTAGTATGCATTAGAAATGAGGCTCTCTTCCCGTTCCTCTGACTATCCCTCCCTCCAATCAAGTTTGAGATGGTCAAGGTGTAGTACTAAATTATTAACATGGGGAAGGAGGCATCTCTTTCTTAAATTTGACCTGATGAAAATATTTTCTAGGGAAATATTTTTGCTAGAAAAAGTAATACTTATGGAGATAATATAATAGTTTAAACAGATTATAAAACAGTGTTCTTAGTTGCCAATTCAATTCTTTAAAAAATATGTATGAATAGAAACAGAAAGGATTGTTTTTCTGGCTCTGCTTGACATGTGGCATGTATCTATAGTTCCCTTACTTTTTTCCAGTAAAAATGTTTTATTTTTTGCAAATAAAGAAAATAACTATTATTTAAAAGCAGGTTATAAATAATGTATATAAAACTATCCCGGTTATACTTAAAAATACATACAGAAGGAAGGAAACCCTCAATAATGTACACTCAATTTCATTTATTTGGTGGCTCTCAAATATACATTTCATCCACTTATTGATTTCACAAATATTAATTAGGCAATCACTACATATTGTCAATCTAAACCCTTATGTCCTTTCTGTAGATTTCCTCTCAATTATCACTGAATGTGTTAGTGCGGTGGAGTTGCATCTTAAGCCAAGGATGGATTCTAAAGTCAGCATATAAGGTAGAATCCTACCTAGTCAAACTTACCTACTTCATAGCATATTCATATAAGTTATAATGTTAGTGGGGAAAAAATCAAAACATTTAAACTTAAAATTAAACTCCCATTTAATTTTATGGGAGTAGAGACTTCTAAAAACTTTCATGTCTATAATTCTTGTGTATTTTCCAAATTTTCTATAGTTTACTTGAATTACATACATGGAACAATGAAATACATAGTTTTAAGATAACCTAGACTTTATTCACTCTTCACTGTATATATGGGCATTTAATTTTATGTAAATAATATATATAAAAAACACACACACACATATATATATATACAGTTTTAAAATTGAAATATATATATTCCAGAATAAGGAAGAAGGGAGAGAGGAGGAGAGGCCAGTTTTCACTGCTCTGCTTGTGAATGGGATGGAGGAGATTGTGTGTGTGTGTGTGTGTGTGTGTGTGTAGAGATAAATATATTACATATTATATATAGTATACTATATAGCTATATTAATCATATTATATATTATTATATAGATATAATATAGAGAGATAAATAGATACATAGATACAAAATTTGTTTACACCAGGACACTATTTTATACATATTTTCTATTTAACAATGCAATGTAAATATTTCTATGCCAATAAATACTGTACTTCATCATGTTAAAATTAACAGGAATTTATCTACCACTTGTTTAATATTTAGGCTGCCTCTATGTTTTTGCTATTATAACTCAAACTTTACCCAAAATCTTTGCACACAACCAAAATTATTTCCTAAGGAAAAATTTCTAAAAGTGAAATTGCTGGGTCTAAAAATCTGAAACATCTTATTTATTTTTATGTGTACTACCAAGAAGGCCTGCAAGGTAATTTAACCAGTTTACACGTGTACTGACAGTCCATGTGAATGAACTCATGTAAAATGGATGGTATGATTTTTAAAAAAATATTCACCAATTTCACAGGTGAATGAGTGCCTTGAAGTTTTAATTTGTCCATTTTGACTCCTAGGGAGGCTGAATAATTTATACTTATTCCCCATATATGTGTCTTCTTTGGTCAACACTCTATTGAAGCCCTTTCACAAGTTTTCATGCTGTTTGTAACTATGTGTACTAGTAGTTTGTTCACTTTTAGGAACATTTTATTACAGGTAACCAATCTTTTAGATAGTCTTACTAGTCGTAAGGAACAGAGATTTAGACTAGTTTAGTTGAGGTAGGATTTACGGTGAGAATCTATGAGGCAGTAGAGAAGATTATGATCTCAAGGGAAACTGAGAATAGACAGTAAATTCCTAATGGACGTCTAAGAGCAGGACCTGAGCGCTGCAGTGCTCTGTCACTACCTTGGCTCAGTTGTTCTCAGTCTCTCCTCTTATCCTCATTCATCCTTCTCCTCCTGTGTCACCGAGGAGACCTCATGGCTTCAGCATCCTCATAATTTCACCCTGCTCATGTATCAGGCTTTCCCAGCTTCCTAAGGAACAAACCCTCTTCCCACAAAAGTGTGTGTACCCCACCAACCCTAAACATGCACAAACCTGCATAGAATTTCAAATGGTCCACAGACATTCCTAGTTGAGAACACCTGGTCTAGGCTAAGTAATACGGTCAGTGAGTGAGAGTTCCTGGGACATTGTCTTAAACCTGGCTGAGGGGCTACTTGGGTGGGGATGGATTGGCAGGCAGTGACCCTACCGCAAGGCCAGCCTCCTCCTGAGTTTCCTGGAGGGAAGGAGGCCAGAGGTGAGAGGCCTAGCAGGCTGCATTCCTTTAACAGAACAAAACCATACTAGTTAGTTGTGAAAATTAAACACTTCCATAAGTGGGAAAGATAGGAGATCATTTTTCTATAATCGGATAAAAACAAGACACTTGTTAGGCTTGTGAAATTAAATAATTCAAACTTAAAGCTGCTGGAACTTTAAATTATTCTGAGCCTTGAGAGGAATGTGGCTATGCAGCTTGAGTCACAGGGCATGAAGCTGCAACTTCTGCCTTTTTTTCCCCCCTGTAAATAATTAAGACAAAATGGCACCAGAGATAAGACTCCCTCAGATCACTACCCCTCCTCACGGAAAAATAAATAGCTGCAGCATATGCACAGGTCTTGTATGGAAAATGCAACCCTGCTGAAATTTCTCTGTCTCTGCCTATATAAGTGAAACCTTAATTTTTCCACTTTGGAACACTGATTCCATTTGTTTGGAGCTGGTGTTTCAGGGTGGCTATACTCAAGCTTTGCGCTTGAATAAACTCTGTACTTAATCAGGTTTTCTGAATCTCATTATTTAAGGTTGACAGGCTCTCCAGGGATTAATTTCTCAAACACATAACATGTTGATTAATTTTAGGAAAATGTAGGTTTTAAATTTCAAACTTGCTATCTTGTTTTTTTAAGCTATTTGGGAAGTATCAGACACATTTTCTAACTGATAAATATAAACACAACCAAATTATGAAGAATTTTTTATTTAGTAGAAAATCTTATTTATTATTGTAAATTATTTTTCTCCCTAAAGAGTACGTTTTAAAGGTTGTGAACAATTGGCCTATTTTAAAAGTTTGTGATTCCTTTTGTAGCTGATTAAAAACATTTTAATCTGATATATGACAATTTAGCCAAATAACAAGGCACCCTAATGAAAAGAGAACTTTTGGGATAAATGCCCATTCCCCCATCTTCAAAATGTGTTAAGTATTGTATTCTTCAATGTAAAAAGAAAGCATTTTAAATTAAACACTGGAACAGAAGGATACACAGAAGAAAATGTTCTACTTCCACTCCCAGCCTCCTTTCTTTATACGCACCTTCTTGGCCATTTATGTGCAGGTAAGAGGCTCAGAGGAAAAATAATGACTACTGGGAGAGAAGGTGGGGTAAAGGAGCCGTTTGCGGGGAGGTTAGAACAGGGGAAAGAGATAAGTCCACAATAATTGTAAATTGACAATAACCCCAAGAAAAACACTGCCTCTTCCTGATGATTAGAGAAACCAAATACTATGCCTGGCCAACTGAAATGCCAAGGTGGAAAAAGAGCCATCCTAGGCCCAGGGTGAAGGAAGAGCGGAGGGATGCTGGTTCCTGCTGTTTCGCTTGTGAGTGGGAGGGAAAATTGGTAGTCTCAACTCACTTGTGACGTTGCTGTCACATAACGGGAGTCTACTCAAGTGCTTTTTTTCCTGCCTTTTGTATCTTCTGGTTAATTATTACTATTATGGAGAAGAAGAAAATTCTGGTCAAGGTACAAGGAAAACAACTGTCCCAGACGCTGCAGGTTTGTGTTCTGGCTCGTGAACTCTGGGGGAACCCTGGGGCTGTGATGGCTGACTGCTGAGGGTAGAGTCCTAAAGTGGGTCCCGATATGCGTTTTTGATACTCCTTCCTTACCCAAGGTCCATTTTGGGTGGTCCTTGGGGCAAGCGGAGTAAGAATACGGGTATGTGGGTATATGCTATACCCATATAGCCTTCCCCACAGGGGTGGGGATAAGAACCCCACTCCCTGTGTCCTACACCCATTTTGGTGCAAAAGATTTTGGTTGTAGAGGTGTGGAAATGAATCACAGGAGAGGGAAACAGACACACGGAAGGTGAAAGTTCTATTTTAAACAGTCCCCGTTATCGCCTTCCCCCATCGTGGATGTTTAAATAGCAAGTAGGGCCAGGGGCAGAGTGTGGCTTCGGAGAGAGGATGGATAAAAGGGACAAAGTTGGGAAATATGGGGCTGGAAGACACTGGACGGGGAAGGGGCCGGGTCGTGTTGGGTCTGGGCGAGCGCTCAGCGGCAGCAGCCTCCACTCGCCCCACCCTGACCGTCTGCAGGTCTGCGGGTTAAGTGTCGCTGCGGTGCACCTCAAGGTGAGAATCCAGAGGAGGAAACTTGCAAGGATAGGTTCAGGTCGATGCTAGGGACAGTGGTGGGGGCGGAGTGTGTGTAGGGGCGGAGACAGAGCCCAGTTAGGGGCCCCACTCCAGATCCTCCCTTTTTGGTGCCTGCATAGGCCTAGGGAAGGATCTACAAGAAAAATGCTAAGCTTTGAAGGAGGGAGGAGAGAAGAGATAGCGGGAGGGAGGTGCTTCAACAGGAGGCCTCCTGGAGAACGCATAAGTCCTCTCTGGTGGGAAAAATAAAAATTTAAAAACCGTCAATATCCAGGGCTCTGAATTTTGAAAGGTGCGTAGTAGGGCCACTGTCTTCGGTTCTGATATGTCTACCAAGCATTGTCTTTTCGCTCGCCTTTTATCTCCTAGGAGTGATGGAGTGCCAAGTAGAATAAGCTGGAGAGAAATCTCAATATGGAAAACGTCCTCCAGGAAAAATAAAAAAGGAAACAGAAGGAGGGGAGCAGGCCCCTGTGCAAAATGGAGAGGAAGTTCCCCCTTTGTGAGGGAATAAAGGCCAGGAGTCTGAAGGAAATAATAGTGTCCAAGATTTTAAGGGAGGTGTAGTCTTATCAATAACATTGATATGAAAAATGCAGATAAAGATGATATGCAATGGTTCATTCAGGGAGAAGATGAGAGAGTTAAGGCAAAAACTCGGGATTGAAGTTAAGGTGTAGTCCATGGCCTTGATGGGGACCACCTCATTCATTATCACCATTATGATGCCTTATACCTTGAAAATAGAAGTTTTCTACTGGGCACGGTGCTCACGCCTGTAATCCCAGCACTTTGGGAGGCCGAGGCGGGCGGATCAAAAGGTCAGGAGATGGAGACTATCCTGGCTAACACGGTGAAACTCCGTCTCTACTAAAAATACAAAAAAATTCGCCCGGTGTGGTTGCAGGGGGCTGTAGTCCCAGCTATTTGGGAGGCTGAGGCAGGAGAATGGCATGAACCCGGGAGGCGGAGCTTGCAGTGAGCTGAGATTGAGCCACTGCACTCCAACCTGAGCAACAGAGCGAGACTCCGTCTCAAAAAAATAAATAAATAAATAATAAATAAATAAATAAATAAAATAATAATAAAAAGAAAATAGACGTTTTCTCTGAGGTTAATACTTCTCAACTCTGCTTTCTGGGTTTTGTTTTTCTTTGTCTTTTCTTTCTTTCTTTTCTTTTCTTTTTTTTTTTGCCTTTCTTGGTGTACTTTTGTTGATCCAGTTACTTCAAAACTTTTAGTATTGCCAGCTTCTACTTGAATATTACATTCTGATCAAATCAGCAAATCTTTTGTCAGCAGAAGCGTTTAATATATTTGAATAGAAATATTCTCATTACGTATTTTAAAGTGAGAAAACAATTTATAATGCAGTGTGCAAAATTACTGTCGCTTCATTTTAAGTCAAGTATAGTTATGTATTACACACATTAACAGAGTCTGAAAATATATATATACTAAAATGAATCTGTTATATTGCAGAATTATGAATGGTTTTACTTTTTCTTCTTAGTAACTGTATTTTTCCAAAATTAGTATGTATTACTTCTATCCCTAAGTAACCAATGTGCCAATCAGCTTTAAAAACTGTGGCATTCAATAAAAACTTGTTAGAAGAACAAAAAATTAACTTCAAATTAATTTTTAGAATTTCTTATTCAGCAACATAACCCAAGTATATAATACCATGATATTACTTTAATGGGTCACCCTTGCCATCTGTGAAAAAGGAATACTATTTGCCCCCCATGGGCTGCTGAGTGGATCAGGTGAGGAACTGAATGTGTGGGTTGTGTTGGTTCAGATCCTACCCTATATCCTACCCTTTCAGAACCCCAGACCCCTGAAAACACTCAAGGAAAGCTGAGGCATGTCTAACCCATGCCCAGGAACAAGTTCAGGCAGTCAAGACGTGGGCGTCACCCTTTTCTGGATACTTTCATGTCTTCTGGACACTACTGCTATGTCTCCTTTGTCTTTTTCATTTTGCTGACAGCTATTGGTGTGTTGAAGTCCTCAAGATGTCAAAGCCCCAGTGATTTCTCTGGGATTATAGTTACTCTTTTGAAGGTGAGTACCACACAAATGTGGCTCAGTAATTGATATCTTAACAAAGTTCTTCATAAAATGGATCTTTCTTATTTTACTTTTAGGTCCTCCGCTCTCCAGAGGACTCAGACATGATTCCATTTGGTTGGAGGATGCTGAATCAATACAAGCATATGAGACTTCATTAATAAAGTAAATGATGGATAAAATAAAATGAAGAATAGCTGAAGTTAGCTACCTATTACCTTAATTATAATAAAAAGGTGTTGCTTATATATTCACTACTTTGGGAAGTTGCCACCTATGTTAGTAGTGGCAATTTCCAAAAGCAGTGAGATAACATTGGCTTTTTTATGTCTACCATGCTCTTGCAAGAGGTGACTTCTCTTTCAGGATATTCATAGCTTTTCATACAAAAAATTCCGGGCATATCTACCCACTAGGGCAACAGACATACCCCAAAGCATATAAACTACAGAAATATTCACCTTAGATCAAAACTGAGTAACACCCCAAGCCTGATCTCCTCCCTACATAAAAGCATTTAAAATAATTGGTAAGATAAAAAATTCATTAAAAGTGTTAAAAATTACTCTCCTACAAAACTGTGGCATTCTCATAACAAGTATAGTCTTTATCACCTGTACACTCCTAGTATCTATTATAATGTCTAACGTATTGTGGAGGTTATACATGTTAAATATGGGCAATATTACTCTGTGGGGACTCTCAAATCCTTTGCCAAGATCTACTCTTGACAAAAGAATAGGAAATAAGTCTCTCCATTTCCCTAGAGGCAAAGACTTGTATTTCATATATATATATATACACAAAATTTATTATTTTTTTTTGAGATGGATTCTCGCTCTGTTGCCCAGGCTGGAGTACAGTGGTGTGATCTTGGCTCAATGCAGCCTCTGTCTCCCAGGTTCAAGCGATTCTCCTGCCTCAGCCTCCTGAGTAGCTGGGATTACATGCGCATGCCACCACACCTGGCTAATTTTTGTATTTTTAGTGGAGACGGGATTTCACCATGTTGGTCAGGCCAGTCTTGAACTCCTGACCTTGTGATCTGCCCGCCTCGGTCTCCCAAAGTGCTGGGATTACAGGCGTAAGCAACCTTGCCCGGCAAGACTTGTATTTCTAAGGAGCCTATTAGGGGAAAAATGACATGCCAGATTAAAAGATGAATATAATTTAACATGATTTTAAAAGAATGTCACACAGACTGGCTGTTTCAGAATCCCTGTCATCTTTCTTGCTAACAGGACAGACTTTGGCATCCCCTGAAAGTTCCATGACTCAACTTCTAACTGGGTGCCAAAGCACATTATCATGCTCCCCTGAAAGATTCTAACACACACTAACACTGGAGAACCACTGGTAGTACAGAGGAAGCACAATCATATTGAGTACAAATATGCATAGAAAAAGATTGCAAGGAAATACGTCAAAATGCCTGAGAGCCTAGCAATACATATATCATATATCACAAGATCTAAATTATCCTATTTTATATTAGGATCCGATATGGTTTGGATCTGTGTCCCCACCAAATCTCATGTCGAATTGTAATCGCCAGTGTTGGAGGAGGGGCCTGGTGGGAGGCAATTGGATCATGGGGTCAGTTTCTCATGAATAGTTTAGTACCATATCACTTGGTGTTGTCATCCTGAGAGTGAGTTCTCATGAGATCTGATTGTTTAAAAGTGCATGGCACCTCCCCGCCTTCCTTCTGCTCTGGCCATGTGAGATGTCTCACTCCCCCTTTGCCTTTGCCATGATTGTAAGTTTCCTGAGGCCTCCCCAGAAGCAGAAGCTGCTATGCTTCTTGTACAGCCTGAAGAACTGTGAGCCAATTAAACCTCTTTATTTATGAATTACCCAGTCTCAGGTATTTATTTATAGCAATGTGAGAACAGACTAATATGGGATCTATTTTAAAAATCTTTCAATATTTCTCATGTTGGGATGCATCATACAATAGGTGTGAAGACATTATATGATGGTTTACTTTTTCTCAAAAAAAGTGTCCCTGAATCCATGATGTATGTTACAGATGCTGTAATTTTTTTTTTTTTTTTTTTTGAGACGGAGTCTGGCTCTGTTGCCCAGGCTGGAGTGCAGTGGCCGGATCTCAGCTCACTGCAAGCCCCGCCTCCCGGGTTCAAGCCATTCTCCTGCCTCAGCCTCCCGAGTAGCTGGGAGTACAGGCGCCCACCACCTCGCCCGGCTATTTTTTGTGTGTGTGTGTTTTAGTACAGACGGGGTTTCACCGTGTTAGCAGGGATGGTCTCGATCTCCTGACCTCGTGATCCGCCCGTCTCGGCCTCCCAAAGTGCTGGGATTACAGGCTCGAGCCACCGCGCCCGGCCTACAGATGCTGTAATTTAATAGTTAAGAAAGTAAGGTGTATAAATGCACGTGTGCATATTCAATAGAAAAAGGTATAACATAAGTCACCATATCAGAATGAATATTTGATTAAGGGTGATTTTTCTGTTCTTATTTTCTTCAAAGTCAGTTTTTTTATTTTTAAAGCTTTTGAACAGTTTCAATCATATTGCCATTAAAAATTCTGAATACCTCTGTATTCATGTTAATTTGAAATACGCAGAATATAATGGCAATAATAAAAATACTCATAAAATACTAAAATACTGTACTTTTAGTGTGAGCCATGTTCCAGACAGTGTTCTAAGTGGTTTACAGGTATTAATTAATTAATTCCTCCAAAGAAACCAGTGAGGGCTATACTATCAATGACCCCACTTTACATAGGAGGAAACTAAGGTATGCAGAGTTTACCTGAAGTTGTTCAGTTAATAGGTTTTAAAACCAGGATATAAGCAAAACTGTTTGGCTCCAGAATTAGTGCTCTCAGTCTCTCAATAAAGTAAATAATAAATACATTAAAACCATGACTAGAACAGATGGAGACAGCCACTTATTTTCCTAAATATAATTTTTAAATTTTATATATATATATATATATATAAAATTTTTAGCAGTGTCAAATCCCAATCCCAATCCCATTGTTTTTTCTAAGGGGAATGATGTTTTCCCTCACATTGGATAAAACTGGGCATAATGGAGATAATCGGGTGATTGATGCTGGGAACTGAAAAAGGAAAGCAATGGCAAATTCCCTGGCATAAGGACTTGAAAGGTCATCACAATAAATCCAAGTCATGAGAAAGATGAAACTAAGGAGGAGTTGAAACTATGAAGATATTGTTTGAAACTATGAAGCTAGATATGGTCGAAACTATGAAGCTAGGACACAGAGAAAAGCTATCCAGTATAAAATTAAGAAACTTCTTAGCAGTGGAAACAGAAGATAGATACTTACTGCATGAATGCATAATTCATGAAGGATAAATGTGCCAATAGATTCCTTCAAAACTTTTGACTCATAAACATTTTCAAAAATAAATAGGTATTGTACAGTGAAGAATATCTCCTAACTTGTTTACGATATAATAGTGGATTTATTTTTCTCTTTTAACACAACTGGGATAAACTTAAAAAGTAAAGTAAAGGGCCACCTTGTGACCAGAAACAGCCCTGCAGTTTGTGCATCACCAATCAGGGAAGTCTGAGGCAGAGAAATAGTGTTAATCTTGATTAACAGTGCAACTAATTTTGGATCTGTTGAGACTGGCATACTCTTAGAACATCCAGGAAGAGAGTTCCACTGGAGAAATGGATAGAAGTCTGCAGAGCCAGAAAGCGGTATGGGCTAGAGGTGTAAAATTGAATGTCATTATCCCTAGGACTGTAGTGACAACTACAGAAATGGATGAGATCTGCCAAGGAGAACATAGAGACTGATAAGAAATGGGACTTTCAACATTTAGGACAGGAATATGGCTCAGTTGCTAAGAGTCCAGGCATTAAAACCAAATCCAAACTCTGTTCTTTTCTAGCAGTTAAAAAACATTATAAACTCCTTTTAGAAATTAATGAGAGTCATGGGCTCTCTCTTCAGCACATGCATACACCTTGAACAAATGTATATATCCATCCTTGACCAAATGGATGTACTCACCTACATACATATATGGGCACACATTTTTTTTTGAGACAGGGTCTCACTCTGTCACCCAGGCTGAGTGCAGTGGCACAATCATGGCTCACTGCAGCCTCTACCTCCCAGGTTCAAGCGATCCTCCCACCTCAGCCTTCTGAGTAGCTGGGACTACAGGCCTGCACCACCATGCCCGGCTAATTTTTTTTTTTTTTTGTGGAAAAAACAGGTCTCGCCATGTTGCTCAGGCTGGTCTTGAACTCCTGGGCTCAAGCGATCCTCCTGCCTCAGTTTCCCAAAGTGTTGGGATTACAGGTATGATTCACCACATCCGATGGGCACACAATTTTGAACGCAAGTTTAGGAAGTCCATAGGTTTACTCTGTTAAGATTTTATGGCCTACTTTAATCAATAGAAATGTAAAACAGGAGAGTCAAATAGAAAACAAATGATAAGATGAGAGACATAAACACAAATATACCAATAATTGGAATTAATGTAAATAAGATTGGATAAAATTATAAATTATATGATATTTATAAGAGGCACACTTAGATGTAAGAACAGAGAACAGCTGAAAGTCAAAATAAATACATGCATGCAGTAATCAAAGGAGAGCTGGTGTAGCTATGAAAAAAATCAACAGCGTAGACTTTAAGAGAAGAAATATTTCTCGAGAAAAGGAGACATATTTGATAGTAATAAAATATTTAATCTAACAGAAAGATACAAAAATTCTGAACCAGTATGTTCCTACTAACATTACTTCAAAAATACAAGACAAAAGGTATTAAAAATAAACGGAGAGGCCGGGCGCGGTGGCTCAAGCCTGTAATCCCAGTACTTTGGGAGGCCGAGACGGGCGGATCACTAGGTCAGGAGATCGAGACCATCCTGGCTAACACTGGGAAACCCCGTCTCTACTAAAAAATACAAAAAACTAGCCGGGCGTGTGGCGGGCGCCTGTAGTCCCAGCTACTCTGGAGGCTGAGGCAGGAGAATGGCAGGAACCCGGGAGGTGGAGCTTGCAGTGAGCTGAGATCCGGCCACTGCACTCCAGCCTGGGCGACAGAGCCAGACTTCGTCTCAAAAAAAAAAAATAAAAAAAAAATAAAAATAAAAATAAACGGAGAAATAGAGAAATATAAAGTCTTTGTGGGACATGTAAACATATCTCCTTAAGTAACTGACAGAATCA